GCAGCGACGAGCAACCAAAAATCGCAGGTCTGCGGTAGGCTTTAGATACTATTTTATTGTTTAATTGTTAATTAATAATTGAATTAATTATTTATAGACTTTATATATAATATAATTAGAGTCATTAATAAGTTTAAGGATACAGTCAAGGTTACTGTCAGGTACCTCTGTCAAGGTTACTGTCAGATACCTCTGTCAAGGTTACTGCCAGGTACCTCTGTCAAGGTTACTGCCAGGTACCTCTGTCAAGGTTATTGTCAGGTACCTCTCTCAAGGTTACTGTTAGGTACCTCTGTCAAGGTTACTGTCAGGTACCTCTGTCAAGGTTACTGTCAGGTACCTCTGTCAAGGTTACTGTTAGGTACCTCTGTCAAGATTACTGGCAGGTACCTCTGTCAAGGTTACTGTCAGGCACCTCTGTCAAGGGCATTGCAACATAGCTGCTCATCAAATTCACCCATACACATATCTATTTCATAAAAGAGATGTCTCTCTACGCTCTCAATGAAAATAATCAAAAAACCTCATAGCTATTTACGTGACGATAAAAATTGTGAATTTATATAAAAATACGATTTTTTTCTTATTTCTCAGAAACAGTAAAGAGTTGGGACCTAAAAATTTAGCCATAAGTTGTTTATAGTAACTAAAAGACGTTTTTAAATGCTTTAATTTAGGAAATAAGTGAAAAGATGCACGAACATTTTTAATGATTTTTAAAACACAACAATTTCGTAAACAAAGAGCCATAACTTCTAAAATATAATATTTCATAAAAATTTCAGGGACCGTTTTTTTCCAATAAGTTAGCATTAAAATGGAGCAAAAATGTTTGGAATCGGAGTTTGAAAATCAGCAACTTCAGAATTTCTAACAATGGAGATATTAGCACTTTTCTACATTTCACAATGATTTAACGGCTGTGTTTCGAATATTCATATGCGGAGATTTTGAACTGTTTGGGAGGAGCCCATGGGCGCCATCTATCAAATCAAATAGGTATTGAAATTTCGACCGAAAATCAACTACCAACCCCGAATGTTTCCCGTATTACGTATTCTATTGAAGAATTCGCACCATCTATTTAGATTCCGCACATGGATTCGCTCTGTAGATTCCAAATAGAAAGTTGTTTTATAGGCCCAAGACTGTAAATTGATTTTACGTCCCGTAGAGGAGGGTTCTCTCTCAATTACATACAACCAAGTACTTTCTCTCTCGACTCCATGCATTGTGCCTTTCTTTAGGCCATATATACAAGACGTCGGCATCCGACCGAATTCTAAATAGGAAGTTTCCCGTATTCCACTCATGTTCACACGCTGAGATGGCTTTTTTAAACAGCATCACTGTAAGTCGCAGAGGGTCTCCCATGTAGACTCCCGTCTGCGTATATACAGAGTTGCGACATGACGAGTCAATGAAGTTCTGGTTACGCGACGCATGGAAGCCTTTTTACCTCCGCAGGGGTTGGCAGGAGGTTATGTTTTCATCGACGTGCGTTTGTTGGTTTGTGGGTTTCTTTGTGTACAGCCTAACTGAAAAAGTTATGGACGGATTGTCATAAAATTTTCAGGATAGGTCAGAAATGGGCTAACTTAGAACTGATTAGATTTTGGTGGTGATCCGATTCCAATTAATTAATTTATTTATTTATTTATTAATAACATTTTCAGGATAGGTCAGAAATGGGGTAACTTAGAATTGATTACATATTGGTGGTGAACCCGATCCAATTAATTAATTAATTAATTAAATTTTCGGGATACGTCAGAAATCGGGTAACTTAGAATTGATTACATTTTGGTCGTCATCCGGATCCAATTAATTAATTAATTAAAATTTTCACAGTGACAGAATTGAGCTGGCTTGGCGGAGGTCTGTGCTCTCCGAGTGCTCTAGTGTTATGTATGTATTTAGTAGTATTAAAGAGGGGACGGGATGCTCGTTGTGTGTCCCTGTATAGCTGTGCGGGGTAACTTAGCCGCATGCTGACCTTAGAATACTCGTTCACTCCCCTCTCTCGTCTACTCACTTAGCAGTAGTACTTCGAGGGCACGTATACGGTCTGTGGTCACATAGCGCGAGTGGAGTGAGTCTAGTCGGGGTATGACACGTATGTGTCTGCTAGCTGAACAGACTCTCGTAACCTAGCGAGATGCTTCGCCTAGCGTTACGTCAGTCCGCTACGTCTCACGGGACGGGGTATTGTCGTTGTGAGGAGATTGAAAGAGAGAGGGAGAGAGAGAGAGAGAGAGAGAGAGAGAGAGAGAGAGAGAGAGAG